AAACATATAATATACAATATGATCTGAAGCTGGTACTGGTGTATTTAAATTCCTTTTCTTACCCTAATCATCTGATACAAGATGCTACTTACTTTTTGTGCAGTATTTACCTTAACATGCACTATGGTATAATAGCCCACTCACTTCTATAGTGCTGGTGATGTAGACAATAATGTCAGTTGATATGTAAAACTAGGAGAAGTAGACCACAAATGGGAGATATCGAGTGCTGGGAACACATTCTGTCTGATATTATTAATCTATCAGATTCTTGAATGTTTTATGTACTTAAGCCACAGTTAGAGAGTGAAACAGAGACTGACACTGGCTGAAATGTGTAGTAAATATTTTATTTTGAACTTTTATGAAGAAATACAAACTTTGAACTTTGAACTCTGGGCTGCTTTACTGTGTGTAATATTGCAAAGCACACTTTGCCTTTGTCAAGCAAACAACAACAACAACAATCACACACGCACACACAAACTCACAAACGTATAAAAACGATCACACAAAGAGGGACACAGAGGATTGAGACACAAGAGGAACCTAATGGACAAGGACCCAGAAAGGGAAAATCTACCACCATTCGCAAACGTCGGTGTCGATTATTATACAGCAATAAAAAAGTTAATCCAGATACACACTTCAAATGTGAATTTGCGTTTCATCTCATGTTTTCCATCGTTTGTTTGTTTTTGTTTTTTTAAAACACTAGTGCTGTAATATCAATTCAAATTAGAATAAAAAATAAATAAATAAAGAGACGTACGAAACACTGTGGATGTGCTTTAATGTACTAGAAATACTACTCACCATCAGTTACAAATGAAAGAAATGAAGAAAGCTCGTTTTTGTCACAGGCTGGTATTTTGAGTTTTATGCCCGTTTGTATTATGTTCTGGTTTGTATAGTAGAGACTTTAACCTTCAGTTAGTTCTATGGTTGTGTTCTCTGTTTCCCTGTTTAGTTTTATCTGTTTAGGTTACTCTCATGTCTGTGTCTCCCCACCATGTTTGTAGCATCGTGTCTTCAGCGTGTGTTTGTTGTGTCCAAGTCTCCCTCGCCTTTGTGTGTCCCTGTTATGTCTTTGTGTCTCGTCTGCCTGTTTCGTCCTTATGTTATCCTCCCTGTGTTTCATTCCATGTCTGTCATGTGTATCCATGTATATTTCCCCAGCTAATCTTGTCTCGCCCTCTCTCTCTCGTGTCCCCTCGACCCCTGTGTCAAACTCGTGTTGTCACAGTCCATGTCTCACTATGTCTCCTGATTACATTTTTACAAATATATTATACAAATATAAATACACAATGTATCGACAACCACTGCACATGTAAGAAAAATCCACAGATACATAAATCAGCAGTCATATTGCAGTGTGTGTTAGAGAGAGAGAGAGAGCGCGAGAGAGAGAGAGAGAGAGCCCCCAGGAGCCAGAGGCATCCAGAGATGGATGCACATGCAAACAGATGAAGTTTACTAAAGAACAGAGCATGAACATACAGAACCAGGGGTAAAAAATAAAATAATTATATGAGTATGCGAAAAAAATTCACATACATATATATGTGAATTTTTGAGGCTCTCAGAACAATAGAACTTTTTGTTGGTTGAGTCTGATATTGATTGTATGTACTATTCCATATCCTTATAAAAAGGCAGAAATATGGTGTTTTATTAATAAACTTACATTTATGGATAAAATATTTAGCTAAAAGTATTAACAATTTTTTTTATAAAAAAAACATTTATCATTCTTCCTGTTGAACTTAAAGAAACAGAATAAAATATTTTCCCATCATTAAGAAAACTCCCTTAAAATATGGACAATAACAAAACTGCTAAATTCTTCCAGAATCTCTGTGTAGAGGAAC